ATCACACTTCCTGAAAACGTTGACTAGGTTCTATCATGGAGAGGCGGAGACAATATTTGCCTAATACTTCTAATTTTTTGGAAAATGAATGGCTCAGGATATTTGTAAGGGCCTTCTATTATTTATTTATTTATTGAGACAGAGTCTCGCTTTGTTGCCCAGGCTAGAGTGAGCCGTGGTATCAGCCTAGCTCACAGCAACCTCAGTCTCCTGGGCTCAAGCGATCCTCCTGCCTCAGCCTCCCGAGTAGCTGGGACTACAGGCATGTGCCATCATGCCCGGCTAATTTTTTCTCTATATTTTTAGTTGGCCAATTAATTTCTTTCTATTTTTATAGTAGAGACGGGGTCTTGCTCTTGCTCAGGCTGGTTTTGAACTCCTGACCTCGAGCAATCCGCCCGCCTCAGCCTGCCAGAGTGCTAGGATTATAGGCGTGAGCCACAACGCCTGGCCTATAAGGGCCTTTTAATAACAAGATATTTGTGTCTCAGTTTAAAAACCATAAATCCTGGTGAACACCTAGCACCATACTTTAAAATCATATTACTAAACACAAGCAAAATTCTTACATTGGGGAAATTACCCTTAAATCGTTGGTTATAGCATGTGATCTTTAATTATTTGAAATTTCCACTACTTGACAAAATGCAATATCCCCAAACAGAATATGATGTGAGATTCAATTGTTTTGTATGAGGAATCCAGGGGAAAGAAATTGAAGAGAGTTTGCAATACAATGTTAATGTTATAATGGTTATGTTTTTCTCCACATTTTTCATAAAATCAAAATTCTTGCACATTCCTCTCCTTAGTTTATAAACCAGAGGCTACACTCACCAGCCTGATGTGCCTGGAACCTCTTAATAGTTTTTAGAGCTAGTAAGTCCCATAGCATTCTATTTTTATGCTTTTTTCTCAGATTTGTAGCATATGACAATGTGAATACATTACAAATGTTCAATGTAAAATGTTGAATGTTTGGCCTGACTACAGGCCAAACAAGATAGTATTATCTATGCCAAAATGCTTTTTGATTGATGAAATATGTGGATTTTGATGAAATTAATCTTTATATACTTATACAAATAGCATTATACTTCATCAGCACACAAAACTTCAGTCAATCAAAGTCATCTAAGATGGGTTGTTAGTGTCATGGAAGGAAGTGGTATCCAAACAAACAAAATATTTATAAAGATGTTACTATAGGTTAGACATGAGAACAAGACATATTTTGCTGGTCTGATTCTCTCAGGTCACTTTAAAATTATTTTTAAACTTTTTGAAATTGAAGCACAGTTTAAATACAATTAAATGCATAGAGAGAGTGTGCAGCTTGGTCAGTATTTACCAGTGAATAATCCTATATGACCAGAGCCCAGACCAAGTTGCAGATCGTTTCATCACCAGTGACATCCTTTCATACCCTTTGCTAACTACCTGGCCACCTTCCACCAGTCACTGTCATGATTTCTGTCACCGTTATTTAGGGCAGTCTGCTTCTGACTCCTATTTCTATAATGTCCTTAGGTTCTCAGGTTCCTAGCTGGTCTGTCTTTATCTCTCCATTTTTTAATTCTTACATTTGTTTAATATATAACATGCCTTTTTAACTGTACTTATCAGGAGGAATAGGGAAAGGACATGTAATTCATCTTTCCAGAAGCAGAAGTCGGCAATAGGATGGCTCATGTAGTGTCCATTTTACTCATCTATTATGTGTGGATAAAAATCACATTTGAAATAACTATCTTAGAGGGAAATGTCTCTTTGTGACAAACTGAATTTAGTTATTTATTTGCTTGATTTATAGGAGCCTCTAATGGTGGGGGCCTCTGCACATTGACTTAGTTTACTTATATTTTGGGCCCTTGAGTATCCTTCTGCCCTGGTACTCATCATCTGTCAAGGGAAGTACAGGATGATGATGATGATGGTGATGATGATGATGATGATATTGTTGATGATGATTGGCCTCTGTATATTGTCCTTTGTAAACAAAGTCAGTAATACTCCATGACAGGGCTGCTACTTAGGACCAGGCACTATGGTCACGGGGGTTTTCATTGTTGTTAATCACAAGCAATGAAGGCTCCAGCTGAGGGGTTTCTGCTTTTCTTTTCAGACCCCCCAGGTAGTAAAATGTGACTGTCTGACCTGAAGGAAATACAGACTTACAACCTACAGACATAAAATGCATAAAATAGAGACATAATTCAGCCAGATTATTTATAAACAAAAAGTCCTAAGTGATCGATAAGTCGTATGAATATGTTCGTGGGTGGGGATAAAAAATGGAAGTTTCCTTACTTCATAAGTAATGTCTGAAAACTGTGGCTTATTTGCATATGAATACCACTGCGTCCTCACAGGTGAAATCCGGTAACTGAACTGTGTCAGGTTTGTCAGCAGGAGAGCAACTGTTAAAGCAAACTAACAAACTCTGACTGGGAGGAGGGAGGAGCGGGGACTCCGGACTCCTCTAATGAGAACTCGTGACCGAGGGCATCGCACGGGTTCCTGGGTCCCCTCTCCTGCTGCACCCCTCTCCACGTGTTACCCTGCTAATCGCTTGTCCGCACCTGGGGTGACAAGGGGCCAAAATATCAAAGAAAGTTTCCTAAACACAAGCTAAAGAGCGTGTCATCATTGCTGACCAACCAGGATGAAGGGAAAAACCCAGAACACATAGTAGTTCCTCAAAAGTCTCAGCTGATATGTACACAATTCCCAAAGTACAAGACCCACCTAGGATGGTGGGTTATCTGGTACCTTCTCTTTCACCTTCTCCCATCTCTTTTTTGAAACAATCATGAGTAATGAAAAATAACAGAAAAGATATGCAGTTTCCATGGCGCTGTACCTAGGACTACTGGTTACTTGTTAGACCAACTCCAAACCGATTTGGGGACAACAGTAGACCTGGTGATTCAACAGGAAGATGCCAAGAGATAGCCCCACACTGGCGCTGCACACCCATCCTTCAGAAGCCCAGGCTTGCCCGCCAGGAGTGGGAAATGGCGCGCCACTGCCGGGGGCTACTTCCTCAGGTAGCCAGACCCACTCACCCCAAATGTCTTCACATCTTTTGTGCATTTATTTGAAGATAACAGCATCCCATCAGTATCACCAAAGTGGCATAATGAAAACAGTTAAGTGCACAGATTCTGGATTCAGGCCCTCTCGACCACTTGCCGGCTGTGTGAGTCTGGGAAAGCTGCTCCACATCAGACAAGGGGTTGTCGTAAGGCCTTATTTTACAAGGGCACTTTAGGAATTAAATGACAAAGTCCATACAAAGTGGACCCTGTGCCTGAGCCAGAGTTCTCAAATGCTCAATAAATATTAGTTGCTGAGTAAGAATGAGAGTGGGTAGGTAGGACTCTATCAAACCCTAAGTCCTGCGGGGAAGACTGGGCAGAGGGATGCAGCTGTTGGAGCGGTGTCCACCGAGGGCTGAAGAAATCCCTGTGCTGTCTCTGGCAGGGGCTCATGTAGTTATTTCTGCAAATCACCCAACAATGAATATTCCCTCCTAAAGGAACCCATGCAGCATGGGTGGAGGGTGCCCCTAGTGCACAGCGGGGCCCCTGACTTTGAACAAGAGCTGTGCCCACCTCCCGGCCATCTGGCTTAAGAAAGGCATGGAAATTTTTAGTGGCAATCGGATGTGCAGTGTTGGTCACCAATAATTTTACATTTTGCTGACTGGCTCATCAATTCAAAGAAGCGCTTAATAAATACCTGCACTTCCCATAATAACTTGTCACAGCAAAGTGTGGTGTCCTCCCTACTCATTTCTCCTCCTAGCAATATCATAATAATATCAAGGTTTTTGAACATTAGCTTTACATGAAGCATCATACTAAAGACTTTGGAAGTAAAAGCATAATTATCAAAAAATAATCCTTAGTAAGAAGATATACAGTATAAGCCAATAAATAATAATAAACTGTCTAGAATTTCACACTTTCTATAAGAGCCTTAAAATAACTGTCAGAACCAGGGAAAAAATAAAAATGTGTTAGTCTCTACAGCTTGGGAATTGTTTATAGAGTACTCCCCTTTTCTAGGCATTGTTATTAAAGAAATAGTGGCTCAGGAATGTCCCTCAATTTGATTTATTTGACTGAAAAAATAACAAATATTAATAAAATATCACGAGGCATTTCTATGTTCTTGGTTTAGATGTGGCATTAATCAAAACGAAAAGAGTAAATTTCCGGCTCTATATTCATCTTCTTGAACACCTGACAGACTCTCATTATCCGAGAAAGAGCAAGCACTGTGTGAGGCTGCCCCTCGGTCTCCCCGGGGTGCTGCCAGAGAGCAGAGTGTGCCCTGCCCTGCCTGTGACTCATCCTGGCCACTTGCTACTCTGCACCTTTTTTTTAAACCAACATCTCCTCCCACCTGTCAGTTCCTTCCAACCACCATTCTACTCTGTATTTCTATGAGTTCCATTCTTTTGGATTCCACATATAAATGAGATCACTTCACAAAGTTCTCTGTACTTTGAATCATTCTTTTAAATGTCTGTTTCTCCTATGAGATTGTAAGCACTTTGAACTCAAGAACTGTATCTTAACCATCTTTGATTCATCAGTACTTAATACTGTACTTCTTACTGCAAGATTTCAGTCTATTTAGTCTCTTGTGTTTGGCAAAGAGAAAATCTTGCACACAAGCTATTAAATACACTAGTTCGGAAAAGTGACAGGAGTGTTGAATTGGCCACCTGAATTGGCCACACCATACACTTTCTGCACTCAGTGGGACACCTGCACTGCAGAATGTCAGGTGATCATCTAGCTAAATGTGAAAACAATTTAGGGTCTGTCTGTTCACACATAATTCATCTGTTTTTTTCCCTATTGTAAATCTGTGATTCTCTTAAATTAATAAATAGTTATGATCATGTAGTTTTCTACTTCAGTAACAGCTATGTTAAATAATTTCCTCCTCTTTACCATTTTTCTACCATTTCTGTTTCAAAAAAGGAGCTGGTGGCTGGACCCCACTTGTGTCAAATAAATACCAATGGCTGCAAATTGACCTTGGAGAGAGGATGGAGGTCACTGCTGTGGCCACTCAAGGTGGATATGGGAGCTCTGACTGGGTGACCAGCTACCTGCTGATGTTCAGTGACAGCGGGAGGAACTGGAAGCAGTATCGACAAGAAGAAAGCATCTGGGTATGTCTTCTAATAATAATAATTGCTACGTGTTACTGCAAACCTATTAAAGAAACAGAATCTTAAGAATAACTTCAAAAGAATTGTCTAAGTTAAAGTAAGATACCTAACGTGTTTCCTGAAAATAAGACAGGGCCTTATATTTATTTTTCCTCAAGAAGACACCCTAGGGCTTATTTTCAGGGGATGTGTTATTTTCCCCTCAAAGCCTCAGCTTGCAGCACGCACAGGATGGCCGGGACCTGACAGGGGGAGCTGACCTTGTTGGTGGGGCTGCCCGCACCTTTCTGGTCACCTCTGGGATAGTAGCTGTCACGATGGGGCAGATGGGAAGGGCCGCTCATCTTCTTTACTGCTCCTTGACGAAATGCATGGGTTGTGCAGATGCGCTGCGTAGCCACGCCCGTCACTAGGGCTTATTTTCGGGGTTGGGCTTCTATTGCGCAAATGCTTAGAAATCCTGCTAGGGCTTATTTTATGGGTACATCTTATTTTCGGGGAAACACAGTGTTTTACTGAAAACATTGAAAGACAATCCTAAGTAGTGTGGAAGTTTAAGAATAATACAAATCACATATAATTTATTTTCTCTTGATTTGCTTTGTAAAATAATTTAGCATTGCCTCTGCGTTATTTTACATTAGCAGATTAAATTCATTCTTTTATTGTACCTAATTTAATCTGATATTCCTGAAAGACACTGAAATTTTACATTTTAATAAATGAGCAAATTCTCTATGTATGACAAGTGCAGAAACACAGGCTTCGAGCTTGAAGAATGATGTGGCCTTTTGTACGGAGCCACATTTAGTAATTCATAGGCTATGGGTCTCTGTGAGTCTCTGGGATCTTTAAATAGCCTTATAGCGGTGACATCATTTCTATTTCTGGTGACATATCAATGCCTCTGTGGGGGGAATCACTTTTTGTTTAACACTTGTGAATACTGTAAAAGTACTTAACTTATTAAAAATATAGCTATTACATAATGTTTGGAAGAAACGCATATCTGCTTCAAATCGTGCTTTGCATTGATTCATCATGTTTTGTCCTGGAGACTTTCCCTACTGAAGACATTCTGTAAAAGAGGAATCTTACAAACCCCGAGTAGCATTTGTAAGCTGACCCTGTTTCCTCCTCCCCACGAGTGCATACATGGTGGAGGGACCCTGAGCATTTGTGTCACAGTTAAGCGGTTCAGAGGAAAGCCACAGCCAAGGCAATGCCATCTGCCTTTTCTGGCTTGCTTTAAAAGGTTATGTGCCTAGGGGAAATTAGTGTAAAGAATAAGGTTATGATTAATTCCAAACAGTAAAATTAACAAGTGTCAACTCCCACAGTCTGATCACCTGTAGGAGCTCACTAAGCTTCGCTGGATTGAGTGGTTTCCTCTCTGTCAGCGTGAGCTTCCTCTAAATGTCGCTGTGTCTTTCATGCTTCATCACTGTTATGGATTGAATTGTAGTTTCCTAAAAAAGAGATGTTGAAGTCCTAACCCCCAATACCTTAGAATGTGACCTTATTTGGAAATAAGTTATTTTCAGAAGTAATCAAGTTACAATGAGGTCAGTAGGGTTGGCCCTAATCTAATATGACTGATGTCCTCATAAAAAGGGACATTTGGTCCCAGAGACAAATGCATGCAGACAGAAATGATGTGAAGACTCAGAGGGAGAATGCCCTGTGAAGAGGGAGATTGGATAATACATCTACAAGCCCAGGGACAGCCGAGACACCAGAAGCCAAGTGACAGCGCAGAACAGCCCCTTCCCTGGTGCCTTCAGCGTCAGCATGGCCCTGGGGACACCTTGATTTGGGACTTCTGGCCTCCAGAACTTTAGCTACCTAGTTTTTAGCACTTTGTTATGGCAGCTCTGGAAAACTAATACAATCTCTAAAGCTTAACTGTGACTTCTAGAGCTAGGACGTCAGGAAATGTTACTTTGTTCCTTGATGCTGTGAGGGTTCAGGACTGGCCCTTCCACCATGTCAAGCTGAAAGGTTTGGAGGGTAGGGATTGTCTTTGCATATCCTTCGTCCTCCACACTGTGACTGGCAAATAGTCACCACTTAATGGATTTGTTTCCTACTCTGTGACTAGCTGTACAGAATTTTGCATGGTGAACAAAAGGGTAATGCTGCTGACGAAATAGAACCCAAAACAAAGCAGAGGTGATTGTCATGAGTGTTCAACGATGAGACCGAAGGAGACTTGAGAGTGAAGTGGAGCTTGGACAGGCCTTGGAGGAAGCATCATGATGTCCATTGTGGAAAAGAATTGAGGAAGACACTCCAGAAAGCATAAGTAATGTGAACATGGGTAGGGGATGAGATATACAGAAACCAGGGAGATGGGAGATCACTGTTCAGACTGCGATGGAGTGAATATGAAGAATTTGATGAAAACTGTAAAATTGCACAGAAGGAGGATATCTAGTTTGGATTATACAATATCTATGCAGATATTTGAGTTTCTTGAACTGCTACATCAGTATATTAGGGGCCTTTTTTCCATTCTGTCTTTCTTTCTTTCTTTCATCAAATAAGGAAATAAGTATGGTAGAGTCTAGTAATATACTGTTGGAAAACACGAGCTGAGTTATAATGAGCATATTTTTCACGAGATATGTCCCTTCTGTCTAGTATTTTTCCTACCAAAGCTTTTTTCCCCCAGAAATAGCATTCACTAATTGATTGTCTTATATTTATCATTTACTTAAAGGGGGGGGTGCCAATGTTTTGATAATAATTACACGTCTTATTAGAGCTTCTGCCTTTTACATAGATGTTAATTTTAGGTATGAATAGATGAAGTTAAAATGAGTTAACTTAAAGTGATTTACCTTTGATGCCTAAATATTAACACTCTTGATTAAGGAAAATTAGAAATTTTTACAAGCTTATTATCAGCTTAGCACAAATTCCGACTATAGCTGCATCCCTGCCTCAGGTTCATGGTATTAACCTTCCTTCACTAGGGGAACAACACATTTCCGGCCCTCTCCTAAGAGTCTGTTTCTTTTGCTTTTATGTTAAGAAGGACATATTAAAAATTCATTCTTCGGTCTTATATGTTTTCTGGATGTTCTCCTTATTCTCTTTTTTTAATGACTTTTGTATTTTTTTTGTCTGGGTTTATCCATTATCCATGTTAATGTTTTCTATTATTAAAGATCCATACTTGCTTATCTGCAATTCCTAATTCCAAAAGCAAAGTTATTAAAGTGGAAAAACCCAAGCAGACCTAAATTCATTTTGCAGCAAAATCTGAATATACTGACTTTGGAGCTATTTGCATTCTTTATTTACCCTGCTTAATGTGAATATCCATGTGTTTTACTGCAGAAAGAGTAATGCATGTGATTACCACCTAGTCACTAATATTTGTATGCACAGTATGACCTTTCTAAAATCTGAAAAAAAATCTGAATCCGAAACAAATCTGGTACCAAGCTTTAGATAAGGGATTGCATACCTGTCATATCAATCTCTAACATTTGATTATCTGAATAGATTAATATCTTAATCCATATTCTTACTAACTATATGATTCAATTGACTGCTTCAAGGGCTGGACTGGTTTGTGTTGTGAAACAGTCAAGAAAACTAGAAATAAATGCCAGGCTTATGAAATCTTCAGAGTAATAAAAGCTATGTTCAAATGAGAGAAATCATGTCACTTAAACAAGAATATATGAGTCTTTTCCTCATAATAGAACAAGCTTCACTATGTATTGTATTTTCATTTTAAAAAGTGCATTTCAGGACACATACTTACTTGATGTGAATAGTAAATATCCTCATCTGCTACATCATTTTAAAAGGTCCCATTATTCAAACAAAGTCAAAAGAATAAACAACATAAGAGAAGAGGTCAGATAAAAGAGAATTTTCTGGGAAAACCACATACTTTCTTTCCCCTGTAGCAGTAGTAGGAATAGCCTAAGAAACCACAGGGTCTAATAAGAACAAATGTTTAGGATCAGGAAGGAGAGAACAGATGTGTGGAAATCCAGCCTACCAGCGCTTGGAAAATGTCCAGGGCTCATGCACAGGGGTTATATGATAGCATTGTACTGAACAAAGTACCAGATTAGCAATCACTGAGGACCCATCTTCTCTCATATGTACTTTTTACTTGTTTTTGAGAGAATCGAGACCCAAATCTGTAAGGAAATATATAACTCTTTAATTCATTATGAAATATTCTCCAGGCTGGAATTAGATATATTGAGATAACTCTTAAGCTCTGATGCAGCTCGGAGCTCTCCTCTGAACATCGGACTCTCTGCTTCCTTTTCCACGTCAATCAGACAAGAAAATTAGCACGTCCAAAGCCAAATTCTTTATTTCCACACCTTCCCCATCACCAGACCCCTCTCGCCTGGAAGCCTACGTCTCAGTAAGTGCCACAGCATTCAGCGGCTGCTTGAGCCAGCGTGCATGGGAGTCATCGGTGACTCCCGATCCTCACACCCCACACCAGCCCCGCAGCACAGCCTGTCCGCCTGTAACCTTCAGGCATACCATGGCAGACGTAGCTTCAATTTATGCGTAGAGTCTGACAAGTTTTCGTCACTTCCGTCATTACCCTGCAGCCCAGGCCCAGCTGACCTTCACTTTCACCTGGACCATTTCCACGGCCTCGTACTTGGTCCCCCTGCATCCACCTTGGTAATAGGCTCCCGATTACACATTCTGTGGGATTTTATTTTCTTTAATTCTTGCTCTAAATAACCACATATTCTATGTGCCATGTGATGTAGTCATTTTCCATAAAGAACTTATCTTAGTTAGAGACAAAGAAACAACATTGACTGTATTCTCTGCTTATCTCTGGCTTCACAGTACTTTGTGCTAAGTTGCCCTTCCACTGCTCTTTTAAAATGTCAAGTGAAGTCTGTCTTTTGTACTAGCTGTTCAGTCCCTCTGAGATTTTCCCCTAGATGATTTAGATAGCATACATAACCTCCTCAGTGCTCTTTTCAGATAAATTATCT